TCTCTCTCGGCAGGCCACGCTTATCGCCGGTGTGACCTGAACGGGAGCTGGGAGCTGGTCCCGGGCAACAACCGCACCTGGGCCAACTACAGCGAGTGCGCCAAGTTCCTCACCAACGAGACGAGGGAAAGGGTAGGCATTCCCATTCCTGCACACAGCAGGAATTCCTGGCCTCACGCCGGGCTAACCCGCGGACCTCTGTCTCGTTTAAAACCCCGGATGAGCTCCAGCTCATCTTCCTCCTCTTGGAAACCCGTCCTGAGCTTGCCAAAGCCACATCGTGCTTTGATGGGCAATGATTTGATTGGAAAATTGTCCTCAAAGGCAGAAAAGTTTCCTGCAGCTGCCATGGTCCCATTCCTGAAGGGATCTTGGAGAAAATTGGAGCGGTCTCGGGGACGCTCAGAAGTGGTTGGAGGTTGTTCCATGGCATTGAGACTCCCTCTGCCACAGCAGGAAATCATTTTGCTGCCAGGTTGTTATCAAAAATTCCAATGTTTTTGTGGCTGTCTCTGGGAGGGGATGTCCAAACACATGTGGAATCAAACCTGGAGCAACTGGTTGGGAGAGCTGGGAATGTCCAGCCTGGAGAGGAGAAGGATCCAGGGAGAGCTCAGAGCTCCTGCCAGGACCTAGAGGGGCTCCATGAGAGCTGGAGAGGGACTGGGGACAAGGGATGGAGGGACAGGACACAGGGAATGGCTTTGTGCTGAAAGTAGATTTAGATGGGATATTGGGAAAGAATTCCTGGCTGAGGAGGGGGGAGGCCCTGGCACAGGTGCCCAGAGCAGCTGTGGCTGCCCCTGGATCCCTGGAAGTGTCCAAGGTCAGGTTGGAGCAGCCTGGGACAATGGGAGGTGTCCCTGCCCATGGCAGGGAGTGGGACTGGGATGATCCTTAAGGTCCCTTCCCACCCAAACCTAAATGATATTCCATGATCTTGATTTAATTCTGGTGTAGTCAAAATTTGGAAACAGTGACAACACTCCAAAGTTATAAAAGGGTTTAAAATATGGAGAGGGTCTGGAGTGCTCCTGGGGAAAAAAAAAATCCATGAGCCATAAATTTACAAAAATTCAGATAATGATAAAATAGCAGCTGCCAGAAATTTCCGTCTTCTTCCCCGTGAGCCAGCCTGGGCTCTGTAGTGCTGGAAGTCTGGAAGGAATTCCATGCTTAGGTGACAGCAAAGCTGTCCCTGGTGTCCCTTGGGAGGATGTGACCTCCTTGTCCCACAGAGAATGACGTTCCCACCCACATGCACCTGTAATTCCCAAAGAATTTACCCAAACCCTCTGGTTTTCCAGTGGCTCTTGGAAGAGTCCCCTTGGACACGGGGCATGGCATCAGGAACTGATCAGCTGCAGGGAGGATTATCCCAGACAGCTGGAGATAAGGATTTAACCACAGCTTCCCTGAGGATCATCGGGGGCTCTTTGGGACAATGTTCTTAATTTGCAATTCAACCACAGAGCAGGGGTTTTTGGAGTCAGGGTTGGTTTTGTTTAGGTTTTGTTTTGTTTTTTAGTTTGGTTTTTTTTCGTTGGTTGGTTGGTTTTTGTTTTGGTTTGGTTTTGTTTTTTGGGGGTGCTTTTGTTGCTTTTTGCTGTTGTTGCTTTTTTCTCCTTAAGAGTGAAGCAACTCATGAATGCAATGATTTAGGAATAATAAGGAAATGAGGGAAAGGAGGAAATGAGTTCTTTGAGTGTTTTCTCTCACATGGACAAGGAGCAGAAGGTTGTGTCCCTGGGTGCTGCTCCAGCCACTCCAGCAAAGGCCTGGATGATGAAAAATCCCAGTTTTCTAGAAAATCCCAGTTTGGTGGGATTTTCCCCGTTCATGGTGGAAAGAACTCTTTTAGCCCCAGAGTTTTCTGGGAAGGTCCTGGAGCAGGTGTTGGGGTCATGGAGCACCTTGATCAGTGCACAAACTTTTGAATTCTCTGAAATCATCTCCCCCATCCCACACCCTGGGGTGAGAATGGTCCAGATGATTTCCAAGATTTCCCCTAGGGAAAGGACATCCTTCCTTTTAAACTTCCCACTGTCAGAACTTGTCAGGGTGACTTGCTAAAGGAAGGGCACAAAGAACAACAGAGTTGCACATTTTTATTTTTATTTTCACCTCAAGGAAGAAATAGAGACTTTCCACCTCCAGGGTGATTTAAAAGGCTGAAAGCAAAATCTCCTGCGGTGGGTTTGATGTGCCTGGCTTTGTCTGTGTCCCCTGCGTGGTCACAGGGTGTGGAGTCTTTGCTTCTTTTTCTGCCAAGGTTGGGATTAAATGTGTGAGATGGAATTTC